TCCACAACCCATGAAGCAACTCTATAAACAGCAACAGGTCAAAAGAAAGCACGAAAGTAGAAAAGGGATCTGTTGAGAAGGGGTTTAGTGGGAGGTGGAGGGGAGTAAGAAAGGCTAACCAGGGGATATTTTCAAAGAATGTTTCATTTGTATAAAACTATGAAAGAATGTTTTTAAAAATAAAGACACAGCAAATCACCAGGCACCTGTCCTGAGAGTGGATTCAGTTACAATTAAGTAAAACTGACTGAGCTACAGACCTCTCACACACTGCAGGAAGTGAGAGAAGAGGGAAGATCACAAAATCACCCTAACATGTCTCGCCACCTTGCCAAACTAGAGGCAATGCCAACATTCAACTGGCTTGACAAAAATTGTATTTTCCTATATCAAATTACTGAAATGAATTAAGAATCATGTGTAACGACATAAATCTAGAATCGTAACCAAAGGCATCACCATCACATTACAGAAAATAACTACAACTCATCAGGGACAAGCAATAAGCCCCTGTACATTTTTAATGAAAAATACTATTTTCTTTATTACAGCTAAATCAGGCAAGACTGCTTATTAAAAGGCCACCAACACGCTGGGCGGTAGTGGTGAACGCCTTTAATCCCAGCACTCGGGAGGCAGAGGCAGGCGGATCTCTGTGAGTTCGAGGCCGGGCTGGACCAACAGCCTCAAAAACAATTCAGAGAAATCTCGTAAAAACCAAAAAAAAAAAAAAAAAAAAAAAAAAAAAGGCCACCAACAATTATTTGATACAGATTTAGAAAATAACCCTGAGGTAGGAAGGAGGACCCAAATAAAGTTATCAGGCATATTAGCCTACACCTGTAATCCCAGCACTTGGAGGAGGCTGAGTCAGAAGAATCCAGAGGTCAAGGTCAGTCTGCTCTACATAGAAAGATTGAGGCCAGTCTGAGAGAGTCTCATCTATATATAATGAGCCCCTATCTCATTAAGTACTTTTTTTTTCAAAATCAAAGCTAATAATATGAAGAAACAAGAAACTCTGACCAGAGGTGGGTGCATTGTTCACATTTGCTCTGTCCAGGAAATTTCTAGCACTGTCTCTCAAAGCCTGAGTGAAAACTGTCACCTAACTAACACCAGCAAAATAACAGAAACAATAAACTTCTCTCCAGTGTGATCTGGCGTTGTGTCCCTAGGGTCACCTTTCTTGAGTGCTGGCTAACAGAAAGACTTTTCAGTCTGAAAGCAGAGCTGTGGATCTGTCCTAAAATCCTAGGCTACAACACAATGCTCTACCCTCTCTGTTAGCCATCCTGAGTAACCATCTAAGTACATTAAGTAGATAATAGGGTTTTCCCAAAACCAAATTTAAGTTAACTGATAAACAGTTACTGCTGGGCTTTCAGGTCTGGCCCTGCTCTGAACTGCTCCAGACACACTAGTCAAGCTTGAGGTACTCTTCTGTGTCTTGAAGATTATCTCTGCTCCAGGTGGTTGGTTACCTGCTTTCTCTTAACAATGACAGTTACAAGTCCCCCATCCTATCTACTCCCCCACCACACCCTGTCAAACCTCCCACACTAACCATAATGTACTAGCTTCAGTCTACTGTGGACTAAGATGCCAGATAACTTTGTAGAAAACATTTTAAATAAATACCACCAGGTTCTAACTAAGGACCTGAAAGGACCCCCTCTATGCTTTAAGGTACCAACTTGGACAATTAGGCTGAAGGCCTAGAGGTTCAAAGTCTGTTTCTCATCACAATTTATAGAAGGTCGGAATAATAGTACTAACAAATTATTTGCATTAAGAAGAGCCCAGATACCTAACTAAAGAACAAGAATGTTAAACTGACAGAATCCTGTCTCAAAGAATGTTCTCTAACTAATTTTATAACAATCTTAAGAGGTAAAAGCTACTCCTTCCACTTTTAGTAAGAAAACCAAGACTTGGGAATTTAATTTACCAATACCATAACCTAGAAATCAAATACCAGCCCTAGGGCTTTGAGTACAAACTCCAAGGCAATCAACTACATTACAATACTGCCCAATCAGGTATTCTTGGCTCAACTATTTGCATACAATATTCCTTTCACTGAAACCCAAATGACTCAAGTTCCTTTTCTTTTCTTAACCACTTTCTTTAACCAAGGGCAATGGTTAATCAAATTGAGACAGAAGTGAGCTTAGCAACCGTACATCTCTGCTCAACAACAAGCATGTTTCTGAAAGATCAGCCCTATCTTCAGTTTGAATGAACTGCAACAAGTGGAAGACTACCCCCACTCCAAGAAAGAGATTGTTCTTAGTGACTTAAGAGACATCCCATCTCCCCTAGTGCCACCCTTTACACTTGACAGAGAGCAATGCAAGTATACTTCAAGAACCTACTACAAAAGAATTTATTGACTGCTCAGACTCCTCACCTTATACTCTAACATAATTTTCTCACTCGGGGGCCTTGGCCATGAGACATGAGTTGCTACTTTCCCAATTCCACTAAGGAATGCTGGTGTGACTAGCCACTGAAAAAGTTTGTGTAGTGAGCAAGTCTTACTTGTCCAGCAGAGTGATGATACTAAATTCTTTATAATCATTTTTCTGACATACCTTTGCAATACTTAGTGAAAAACATCTTTGCACTTACAGAAACCAAGGGCCTAAAAATGTCTCTTCTGCTTCTACTCAGACAAAGCATCTAAAAAGATATGCCTCTCTCTCTACCCCCTAAAAAGGATTCTTGTCCCAAGAATATGAATAAACCTCCATCTGCCAGACTGCACTATATACAGCTCCTGCATGCACTACAAAAGCACCTGAATAAAAAAGGCTGCTGCAAACACATCTTCTGGAGTCCAGAGCATTAAACCAGGAGAACAGGCCCAAAAGTCAGATCTGGTAGTTTTGACAAATATAAAAACCCAAAAAGTCCTTAGCCACCAGTTCATACAGCTGAACTGAGTTAGTTTGCTTCTTTGTTCACTCAGTCTCCCTAATACAAAGTCCTGAGGTTACAGTTACATTCCATTATCTACAGTATCAAAGTGAGGAGACTGCTTGCTACCCGTGTTTAGTAGCACCTCTGTTCACCTGAAGGGAAGAGCTGTGTACAAAACCAGCCCCAAATGTCTTACCAAGAGTTCAAACACATAACCAAGCCTAATAGGCCACAAACAGGAAATTACTCTGCAGTTTCTCCCAAGACTATTACTTTATGAACTATACAGATTGCATAGCTGTTTAGTGACAAGTACCTTAGAAGCCTGAAGACCAAACTTTGCTGAACACCTACATGAAATCATTTTAGGTGTAGCTACAATATAGGAGACACCAAGCTTTAGGAACACAAATGAGGTTTGTAATCACAGTACAGTAATTAAGCCTGGCCAGTGAGCAGTCTTAAATTCAATTAAGTCAACTGGATTTTAACATTAAGCATGTAAGTGGGCACTCACTTTACAAATGTCCAAATATCAGACCAATTTTTCTTACCAACCAGGTAATTTCATGCAAAAACAAAGGAATTTTAAAAATAACAGCAGTGTTACTTTATGAGTTTAACATAAACATTTACCAAATGACCTAAGAGAAAAGAGAAATTCTCTATAGAGTCGTTTCATAGTTAAAGAAGAAAAAAAAAAAAAAAGACCTTAAACTATAATACTTCTCCCATGCCTGGATTTCATCTGCTTCACTAGCTAATGAATTGAAACTATTCCAACTTCATTTTGACTACTTAACACTTCTCTGTAAAGGGGAAAATTGCTTTTTACAGGGATCAAAGTAAACTAATAGTAAAGATATTTCCAGCATGGCAGCAAATGCATTCTTGTGTCATGCTCAAAAGAAAACATCCTTTGTACGGTGTTACCGAGTCAACTGAAATCAGAAAGAAACTAAAAAGGACTTTGGAAACTGACATATCAGGGTACCATTTTTAAAAGATCTTCAGGTACACTTGCCTGATGATTCATTTATTTACATATGTCTATCATTAATCTAAAACCATATTTAGAACATCCCAACAAGGCCTAAAGTAAGCCAGAATTATTTTCACCTGGGTGTATTTTTCTTTTAATTGGTCTGACAACAAACAGGTAGTTTTTGCCTTTAAGAGCTAAAAGGAGGAGTAACAAAACCAACCTCAATTTCTATTTTTCTTTTGTTTAGGTTCTCAAGGAGACCATAACATGCAAGGGTAAGAATACAAAAGTACGTGGCCCAAGGACAGTCTCCCAAAAACAAAATAAATCCAACCACCGATTGTGAAAACCAAGTTTGAAATATGTGCAATCAATTAGCATGCTTCCCAAAGGCGTGTGATTAGAAACTAATAGGCTGCACCCACAGAGCAACTTTCCCAAGTGCGTGGAGGATAAGCCCGGGAATCTCAGCCACGAGCGTGTTTGTGAGTACACAGAGCGAGCGATTCGGAACCCGCGACTGTTACGGTTAACAAAGGCTACAGAAAAGAAAAAAATAAATAAAAGGAAAAAGTGGAAGCAAAGTACCACACGCCCCTAACTCGGCTCCCGGGCCCTTCTGAAATGCAAACTGCGAGTGCGGCCGCGCCGGGACTGAAGCGGGCCGCGGCCAGGCTGGGCGGGGCGGAGGCTCGCGGCCCTGCCCACGGCGCCGACCCCGGCCCGCGAGCCACGGCCCGCCACACCCCACACGGGCGGCCACGTGACCCGGCCCCGCACACCCCTGCCCGGTCCTCCCGGCGTCCCGGCTTTACCTGCACCAAGCGCCAGGTCCCGCCCCGTCCGAGCCGAGCCTCGGACCTTTTGTTCCTTCCTCTTCCGACGGGCTCCGCGCTGCCGGAGGAGTGGGCGCGCGCAGGCGGAACTGCGCCGCGGGCCCCCGCCCCGCCCCCAGGCCCGCGCTCGCCGCGGCCGGCGGACGGGTAGGGAGGGAGGGCGCCGCCAGCTCCACTCGGCGCGTCCCTGCTCCCCGGCCTGGCCTGCACCCCGCGCCACCCTCCGCCCTCCGCCCCGGCCGCCGCGCACCTACCTTCGGGCGGCTCGCTCGGCGCTGGCGAGCTGCAGGCTAGAGAGCTGCTCCTCCGCCGCCGCCGCCGCGCGCGGTAGCCCCGCCTCCCTCCCCGAGCCGCGGGCCCCGCCGATTCGCCGGCGCAGCCCCGGGCTGGCACCCTGCCGCCCGCTGATTGGCGCCCGCGGCCGCCCGTTAGGCGTGAGGCACGCCGGCCGAGCGGGACGCGCACGGAAGACGGAGGGAGCACGGCAGGGACGGAAGGAGGCCGGGCGCCGCGGGCAGGGCCGGGGGCCGAGCGGGGCGCGGGCAGGCGCGGGCCGCCGCCTCCCGCCTCCGGCCCGACCGGCGGCACACGCAGCCAATCAGCGAGCGGGAAGCCCGGGGTGTGAGCAGCGTGTCGGGGGCCTGGAATCGGAAGGGAGACGTCGTTCGCTGATTGGTCCCGCCTTCCCCGTCGAGCGTGAGGCGAGGCGCGGCCGGGTGGGGTGGCACGCCCGCTGTTGCGCTTGAGTTCGTGTCCGGCGCGCTCCCACGGGGCTCGTGGAGAAGCGCGGAAGGCCGTGCAGCTTGCCACGCCCGCAGACCCCCGCCCCGGCGCCTCTGGGTGGAGCGCCGCGGTCCAGTCCTCGCCCACCTCCGTGGTGAGGCCGGAGTGGACACGTGCTCGGGCCCGGGCCCGCCCCCAACCCGGCCTGAGCCGCCGGGCCGGCAGAGCTCAGGAGAAACCCGAGAGCTGGCCGCAGAGGGGCGCGCCCTATGCAAATGGTGGGCGGGGCCTTGTGGCGGGGGCTGGGGGCGAAAAACCGCGGAGTTAGAGTTCTCTTGTCGGTGCGGTTGGGGTAAGGGCTGGGCAGTAGATAGGTGTTTTTTTTTCCAACCCGAACCTTGAGTCCTTCTGAAGTCGAAGTATTAGTGATGCATGTTTCGAATGCTCACTGTGAAGTGTGAGCACCTGGCAGTGTGCTCCTGTATTTGCTGTCCCTAGCTCGTTTATTTGTATCCCTCCCTGTTCCTAGGCCTTGACTTTTCACCTTTTCCCATGGAAGAAGCAAGTCCCCAAACTTAAGACTACCCATAGCCGCGTAACCAGTTTTAACTCAACCCTGACAGATAAAGATTGAACCCCAAGTAATCGCCTTCAGTGTTAAGCACCTGTGTTAGACAGAGAGCATAATAAACCCAAATTTGAAATGTCTTTTTCAGGTTGCTAGTGGTAAAGACAATACCAGAAGACAGTTTCCTTGGCTGTTTGCTGTGTGAAGAACCCCACATATAATCCAATCATACTTTTGAATTCAGCTCTAATTCAAATCCAAGACTTTTGACAGGGTGGTACTTGCAATGATAACATCAACTTACATAGTTCCATGCTGATGAAATCATAAATGGAAACGTGAGAAGAACAAGACTTTGAAACGAATGTAAAATTAAGGAGTATTAATTTCCCTTTGTGAACAGATATTTATGCTAACATGGACTTAGCAGAAACTCACCTGCACAGAGGGTTGGGGTGTTTATTCTGTTAGCAGTCCTAGAGGAAGGCCCTCATTTTAATAGTTTTGTAGTTGGTAGAGCTCCTGTCTCACCCACACTAGGCCCTGGTTTACCCCCAGCACCACCAAAACAAAAGTTAAGTTTGAGAGGCACGGCTTCAGATCTCTCATCTCAACCTCCCGAGGCCACCTGGGTGTGTGGTTAAGGCAAATGATACTCCAGTTAGAAGTAGGGAAACTGGTTCTGACTTGCAACCCTTCTTTATACTGATAGAAATCAGCAGCCTTAAAACAGAATGGCCTGTTAAAAGTGGTCTTGAATCATACAATACAATTGTGTGATTCATGTGTGGATTTGGGTAGCTTCGTAAATTCTATATGCTTCTTGAATTGGAGTTAACCATCTCTCATAGTTTGAGATCATAACTCCTCCATTTAGAAAGCCTTCCAAGATCTAGAGCAGTGGCTCTCAGTATCATATCCTACATATCAGATATTTACATTATGATTCATAACAGTAGCCATATTAAAGCTATGAAGTAGCAAGGAATTCATTTTATGGTTAGGGATCACCACAACATGAGGAACTGTATAAAAGGGTTACAGCATTGGGAAGGTTGAGAACCACTGCTCTAGAAGATCTAGAGGACTGAGGGAAGGAATAGGGGCAGCATGGCCACTAATGCAGTCTCCAAGGGAATTGAAATGGGAGCATGCCTGCTATCCCCTCAGTTAGAAATGCATCTAAACCAAAGTGGGTCAAGAGGAGCTGAAGGCACATGGAACAAGGATTACCATGGCAACAATCAGTTTGGAAATCCACTAGGGTACCTGAAGATCTATAAGTAGGTCCCTATTGTGTAAGTTATATTGAATGAGTGTGTGTGTATGTATATAATATATATATGAATGGACAACAAGTTTAACCATTACTCATGCCAGTATAAAATCAATTAAGCCTAAATCAACTCAAAGTGCATTTAAAAGACATAAGAAAAAGTATAGCTATTCCTGGAATAAGCCTGAGAGTCATGAGTGAAAAAACTTGAATTTCATTGTCAAATCTTCTTTGATTTAAAAAGTTAATCATTTTTAATTAATTAATTAAATTAATTACTTTTTCCAAAAATCCAACTCCTGCTCATCTCCTGTCTGTACATCTCTAAATCTCTTTTGGTCTACTCAGACCAAAGTGTACTTTCTTTGTTAATGTTGATCCATACATATACCATGACTTTACCTGGATTAATGTTTTGATGGATGATTTATTCATCCAATAACGGGAATTTCTTAACTTCTCATATATGCTTACTTTGTCTCCACATCTAGATTGTAAACTTCTGAATGTCAAAACAGCTGCTTCCCAGTAGCTTCCTCACACCCTTGCCAACATGCCAATAAGTGATAAGAGGTAAAATACAGTGTTTCTATAGCAGGCAAGTGACATGTGTATCACAGTTCTGCATTTACAGTTGGTACCATCCTTTTTTGTAGTTTTCTGTGTATCTGTTGGGTCTCTTCTCAAGATTAACATTTGCTTCTTCTAGTGAGACTAAGTAGCAATGAACATTATATATAAGAAAGGATACTGTTATTTGAAACTGAAACAATATTAACTGAATGAGATAACCTGAGCAAAAGTTATAAAGAACAACTATATTTTGAAAAATATGAGAATATTCAATCTCAGCTAGATTTGTGTATCAATGCAATGAATCTTGATGCTTTAAGTAAATTTGATTGTCGATGTTTATACATATCTACACATACTCCAGAGAGTGGAGAGAGTCTACAAAAGTGCCTTTATTTACATGCTAGGTTTTGCTAGAAAATACTTAGTATCTAATGGAGACAGCCACAGGAATATAAAAGGAAAATATTAAATTCAACAGGTGTTCACCAGGCATTTGCTATGCACCTACCATAAAAGTATTGACTGATCGTGGAATATTCTTGTCCTTTGGCCAAACTCCCTCTTTTAAAAAAGAAAGAGAAAAATTTACATAAAAGAGGAAAAGAGAGATGTGCCGGTAGAGTTTTTGAGAATTAGAGACTATAAGACAAATTGACTTTTGTTGAAAAAGAAAGTTGGTGCCTACCTAGAGCCTTCACACTACTGGTTAGTGTTCTTGGTACTGGAGGTACTCTGCAGGCTACCAAAGGAAAACTATAACACAAACACAGCTGTAAACCCTTCGATCTACAAGACCACCATGCCTGCAAGAGATGCTAGTGCAGTGGTGGCAAAGAGCTTGTGGGAGTAGCCAACCAACATCTGATTTGACTTAAGGTCCCCTCCACAAGATGGAGCCGACACCCAACACTGCCTGGTGACCCAGAATCTGGTACTACATAGTCCAGAGATCTGTAGGAAAACCAAGTACCACTAGAGGAATGCTCCGACAAAATGACTCCTAAAGACATCTGTTGTACTCATAAATCATTGTCTTGCTCAGCCATCATCAAAGAAGCCCCCTCCCGCAACAGATGGGAACTGATAGAGACTCACAGCCAGACATCATGCAGAGAATGGAACCCTCAGCCCTAGAAAGGATGTCTCCATCAAATCCCTGTCCTCAGGCAGGGTTTGGGGAACCCTGAAAGAGGAGGCAGAGTAAGAGCCAGAGGGAAGAGAGGACACCAAGGAAACTAGGCCTTCTCAGTACAACAGGACTGACAGATATGTGAAATCACAAAGACTAAGGAGTGTGCATGTGCACAAGGCCTGCATGGGTCTGCATCAGATGGGATCCCAGAGCTGAAAGAAGTGGATACATTTCCCTCATCCCTAACTCAGAAGAAATCTCCAGTTGGTAAGCACTTGCAAATTTAGTTTTCTCCAAGGAAGTCTCAGCAGGAGATGGCCAAAACAAAAAGAACTCAATGGCATCTTTGGAGGTCTCCTGGCCCCATGTCTATGGTGTCAGGACTTTTTTAAAATCTTTTTATTTCTATCTCTCTTTTTATCCTTCAGGTCCTTTGCATATATACTGTGGCTTCCAGTTTAGTGTTTTTCCAGGGTCCCTGAGTGTGCAAACATGTAAGTCTCTTTGTCTGCATCTGATTGTGTCTTTCCTTGGGCTGTTTTCCTTCTGTTTGTTTCTTTTGTCCTTTTCCAATTTGTTTATGTTTGTTTTATTTTGTAATTATCCCTTAGCCTGTTTGTTTTCTCATTAGAGACAGAAAGGGGATGGATCTAGATGAGAGGAGACCATAATCAGGATATATTATGTGGGGGGAAAAATCCATCTTCAATAAAAAGAAAAAGTAAGACATAAACATAGGGTTTTTGCAAATTAAAAATTATAAGACAAATTTACTTTGGTTGGTAGAAAAATAGTATGGTAAAACAAGTTGTATTTCTCATTCTCTGGGCATCTGTTGCATTTTTCTCATTTACATATTTAAATCCACAAATGATTATTAGATAAATTGATCACTAGATAACTCATAAATGGTTGTTGAAATGCTACTTGGATAATTGCAGTACAGTTCCAGTACATTGAACATCCTGTCAAGGCATTTGAACATTATCAAAGATCTACATGTTTGGAGAAAGCTTAACAAAAGCCAGCGTCTAAGCCCTGAGAGAACAATATACAAATTGTTGAAAGTTCTTTGTGAAGGAGAATAATATGCTACTCAGATGTCAACAATAGGGCCTTATGCCTCAGTTATAATAGTCTGTGACCATATTGGCTGAGCCAGTCTGCTGTTAAGCAGAACAAGTGTATGAAGGTATAATACTCTTGAGGAGTCAGTCGTGGTAATGTAATTGTTCTCATGAAGAACTTACATAACTTGGT